GAGTAGCTGATGACGTTGGCACCAGTGTAGTCGCTTTCTTGTTCAGTAATCACACTTTTGGATAGCATGCGCGCTCTACTTTAGTGTACTTTCACATTTCATACTGTTCTGAAATTGCAGTTGTCCTTCTGTACTGTAAGAGAACTTACCTGTAGCCAAGGTGCCTGTCTTCAACGTTCACTTTCATGACCAGACGTCAAGTTCCAGAGAATACATCTGAATACCCCCGGAATGTATCTGAAGACCCTTGAGTATGAGCCTTGAGTTCCTGCAACCTCCACAAGATTCAAACCCCAGTGTCCCTGACAGAATCCTGACAACTACCCGCCTGAAAGACATCCTGGAAGGAAAGCTCCGCGGAAGACCCCTAATTTTCGAGCTAAGGAGTAGTTTCACAAACATCAAATCATATATCCAATCTTGTCTCAACAACCTGTTTGTTTCGTTCGCCGCGGCTAGGTATCATTTCCATCGTTGTTCGAGAACAGAGCGGGCCCTCTTACAATCAACGTTGCCTGTTGCAGCGAATCTTTTTCCGGAGATCAAATGCAGCACTTTGTGTTGTTATGCCTGTTTTGCGGTCAGTCGTCGTCGTCGTCGTGTTGCTGTGGTGCTGCTGCTCGTTCATCGCCGTTTAGATGATGTTGTTGTAACCACGTGCAGTCCTTGCGGTGTTGGCTGTTGCGTCGTTCGGTCGTCGCCGTTGTTTTGTTCTTGGATGTTGCTGCTCTTCGTCCGTCCGCGTCGGTGGTGTTGTTGTTGTTGTTGCGTCATGTTCGTACTACTACCCACGCATCTGCCATGTACCGCAAATCGTGTCTCCAGGGAGTGCTCCGTCCACCACGCTTCTACACCTTGCCGGTGTGTGTTAGATCTCTAGCACATATTACATCTCTAGCACTCGTCTGTTGAAAATGTTCGTGTTGTAGTTTGACTCATCACTAGCAACCGGCAATAACCGGGTAGGGGTGTGTGTGTACCTCCTGTTTCTAAGGATCAGGTGTCTTTAGCTACCGAGTTTTCTATTGGTATGATGTGTCATCTCCAGTATGTCGGCAACCGTACTTTTCAACAGATGCGGGGGGATGCTCCCCACCTGAAGCGTGGGCATCTAACAAAGAGGCTCTTCAAAGTGTGCCGATATGGTTCTGGGATGCCAGAGCCACGTACCTGCACCTGGCCGTCTTATAAGTGCTGAATAAGCGCCTCCCCCTTTTACTAAACACCCCCCTAATAATAAAAACACATTGGACCCAATCCTCCCGAAATCATCCCTGCCCTTTCAAACCTATTCTGAATTACGGGGGTTTTATTAGGGTTAAACATTGAGGGTTTAGGTGAGCCTCCCTGGTTGACAGCTGT